GTCGATATTTAGGTTATTTTTTTTTTAAAGAAACATTTATGAGTATACTTAAAGCATGCTACTTTTCCTTTTTTCATGCAGACATGGACCTTATAATACAGAATATACTGTTAACTTTAGTAATGGAAGTAAGGTTTAAAATCTGCCAGCATATCTTTAAAAGTAAAGAGTTAAAAATAAAATAACTCTAAAATCTGTTTTACCATCTATAAGTTTATTTGCCAAATTAAAAAGACAGAAATGAAATTTAACACAGATAATAAAATCTAATTAGAAAATAAGAATTATGCTATTATAGACATTGATATTTCTTTTGAAGACAAGGAAAAATCTGGTTCCATCTTGAAATCATTCAATCTTAACAGGTGATGACCATAACATATTCCATGATTTCATTTTCAGTTTTCTTCTCTTAAGACATTGGGAATGAGGAAAAAGCTATGTTGAATTTTAAATCTCTATTAAGGATATTAGCAATGAAATAAGGCTGCTAAAAGTTAGAGATTATGATCTCATAAAACTAATCAAATCAGTTGTATATTTAACACTTCATATTCAATCAAATATTGTATCACAGAGCATAAAAAGCTTTATAAAAATGAATGGAATTTATAGTTAATCCATCTTTAACCATAATGGATATAGCTCAAGACCTTCAGCAGGTGTCAATAGCTGGATTGTGCTAAAACCTATAGGCACAATGTTTATATATATATGTGTGTGTGTGTGTGTGTGTGTGTGTGTACAAGTTTTGTTAAAAACAACTGTTATTAAGTTTTTATAATTTTTTTTTTCTTTTCAGGACAAATTATATAAGAATTGTCCAAAAAATTGTGTATTTAGGCAGCAATCCCTCTTTTATACAAGTTTCATTAAAAATGACTGACAAGGTACAGTGGTTAATTATTTTATTTAATTTTTCTTGTATTGTTATTTTTCTTTTTTAAACATAAATTATATAGAAATTGTCCAAATGTTCTGTATGTCAGGGTGCTTTTGGCTATATTTTTAGCCATTATTAACTCAGATATACAGAACATTTGGACAATTTCTTGGTAGACACAATGTGGGATAGTCAGGGACAAAGGTGAGAAAAAGAAAAATACAGATAAATTTGGCTAGACTGAAAAAATATTCTCTCAAAAAAATCTTTCAAAAATTTTGAAACTACCAGCATCTCTCATTACAAGTGCATGTATAGACATGGCAACATCAACAAAGACCAGCCTGATAAAATCCTAACAGATGAAACACACCACAAAAACTTTTTTCCAGTTTGTCATATTTTTGTAAATACTGTATGTTGATATATAAAATTATATATGGTTATATATTTTAACCACAACTTTGATCTAAAGAATGCCACACTTATTAAAAAAGAAATTAACTTACTTAGCAGGAAAATTCATGAGAGTGCTGCTATCAAATTTTAAAAAATATAAACCTGCTCCTCAGATTTTTTCCAATATCTTCATTCCTGAAAGAATTACTCTTTTCCCAAGTCAAAATACATGACTAGAAAAATGTTAAAAAATAGAAAGACAACTGTTAAATCCTTAACCTAATGTTATTCAAAATATATGATGCATAAATTAAACTAAATTAATTTAGATACTAATTTGTATTATTAAAAAAAACATCACTTACTCACTTTTGTTTATTAGAGATTGAATTTTATCATGTACTGTCTTCCATAGCTTGCCTGACTTTCAGGCTTACCTGATAAATTTTTATGACCATTCCTAAACTTAAAAATTTTGAAAAACCAATAACATTTTCACTCTTATATAAATACTTGTTACAAAATAAAATCCTTGCATTTGCCTTGATAAAGCCCCTCAGAAGATGAAACACATCGACTGCAACAAGTTTTCCTTTTGTCTTTATTCACACACTATATATATATATATATATATATATATATATATAAGTATACCAATAATATAAATTACGAACAATAAGGAATTAATAACAAAAGCTATTAATGAAATAAAACAATTATAACAATATACTTTAATAAAAGTTATATAATGAATAGAAGATGTATTCTTATTATAGCTCTTAGCAGCCTCAGCATATGATTATTTTTCTTGTTTTCCTTATTAACTCTATACCAGGCAAAGTGAAACTTTTTTTTGCTTGTGTACAACTTTCAATTGATCCTGCTCTTTTTGTGGTTGAGGTATTGATTTAAAATTCCAGATATGTTACTAAAAATAAACTGTCATGAAAAAAATTTTTTCTGTTATTTTAAAGGTAATTGAGAATATAGTGAATATTCCTTTTGTTTTATAATTGCTGGCGCCATTTCATTTGTTGATGTGAGGAATTTTGTAATTTTAGAAAATTACGTGTAGTCTTACTTTAGCCTTCCAACACAGATACTTTAAGAGTTCAGTACACAAATATTTCAAAGTACATTCAGCATTAATTCTTTGTATTGTAAATGAAGCATTGAAACATTTAGTTTTACTTTTCAAACTCATTTTTTTTTTTTTAATAGTTGTTTTACACAAATAAAACAGTAAAGTGAAAATTTAAAATAAAAAATAAAGGAATAATCTCGCAAACTTTCAAATAATTTAAGCCATTATTTGGAGCTCCATGGCATTTAAAAGTTGGTGGGCAAAGAAGTCCTACCCCATGTCTTTCACAACTCCAAAGTAATCTGCCTGAGATAAGGTTAAGTTGAAAACTTCCATCTTTTCATTTAAAGGAAGCACTTCATGGATTTTCTTTTAATATATCCAAAATTATCAGCACTATTATTTGGAAGAATTATTCAGTAAAACTTACAACCTGCTTATATCTAGGATTGACTGCAACTAAGTGAAACCAGAAAATGAAATTATGGCTAAAGAAGGATCACTTGCATTATGTTTGCTGCTATTTTATGACTAAAATCAAGAGAAAGAAAACAGAAATTTGAAGCTACTGTGGCAGAAATTTCCATCATTTACAGTTATACCATAGAAATGAAATAAATTCTTGGCATCTGCAGTTAATGGCTTAATGTTATTGTCTCATAAAATCTTGATATTGTTATGAAAGAAAAGAAGGTGTTTGGTAATTAAAAGTTAAAAGTGAAAATAAAGCTTTTAATGTCTTCCAATGTTTAACTTAATTTTATCCAGCTTTTCTTTAATTTATACTTTTATAATTTATTTTCTCTTAAATCATGAAATTATTCTGACCTGCATACTTTGGTCTAAAGAAAAACAAATAAAATGTTGTGCCAGGTAACACTAACAGAATAGAAATAACAGGCTTCAGTAAGAAAAAAAAAAAAAAGAATATGCTCCCTTCACTAGTCAATTTTAATGCTAACATACAGAATTAAACCATTATAAACAAGGATTAACATTCCAGAGAAAGAGAGATGGGAAAGAAGGGAGATAAACATGTCATTTCTGGACATAAGCATAACAACAAAAAAGGTGAGAGCTGATAATTACAGGTATGTTCTGAAATTTTGAACTAACTGACACTTGGTGGTGACAATTTCTTTTGTCTATTCCCAAATGATACCAGACTTAACCGATTAGCAGTGATTTAGTTAATTGCTAAAGTAATTATAAGAACTGAAATTGCTTTCATTAGAATAAAAATAATCAAAGATATTTTGGAGAAAAAGAAACTGATATAGAAAATTCAGTTCTGGATGCTAAGAGATCATGTGGCCAATATTTGTTTGGTTCAACTTGAAAGTAATCATTCTACACAATACAGTAAGAAATTGAATAATTATTACAGTATCAGAATTATACACTATACAATGTTGTTATATGTGTGTTCTATATATGCATAAGAATGTGCAAGTAGTCTAATGGATATTGGCATGGAAAATGGAATCAGTGAACAGAGTTCAAATTCCTAGCTAGTCTGTTGAATTCACTTTTCAACAAATGACCTTGGGAAAGGCATGAATCTGTCTCTTCTCCTCCAGCTATGGATTGAATAGCAGGGTAACTGAAATCTCTAGCCTTGGGTGGCAACCAAGTCTAAGAAAAGGAAAACAATTCTAAACTGTGGAGAGAAGACAATGAGGAACCACTCTACTTTCTCAAGAATGCATGGTAATTCACATATAATAAACAAAAGGAATCTATAGAAAGACATGATCAACTGCTTCCTGAAGGGACATGGCATAAAACAAAAAAACATTTTAAAAAGTAATATGTATATAATATATAAAGATAGTTGGGGGATGTTTGATAGAACAACAGAATCAAGATTACAACTGCATCCACTTTCAATGTGATTTTAATAAATTCTTTAATATTTAGAAAATTCTGAGAAGCCATCATTAATACTAGTATTTGTTCCAAGAAAATATATAAATAAAAATACAAGGAAATACCTATTTTTTTTTATGAATTATCAAATCTTTGTGAGTTATTTAAAGCTGAAACGTATTTTATGTCATAAGAATAACCCTTTTGTTTTTTGAATATTGTCTTAATTTTTTGAGAACAATGAATTTTCCGGATACAAGTCTTATTATTTAACCCATAGATGGGAGGAGGAGATGATTCATACGTTCCCCAAGGGTATTTGTACATAAGTTAATGTAATGAACTTGACTGAAATTTGAAGTCATCTCTGACTTCTCTTTTCGAGCTGCTATCATTACACCACTCACACATCTAACAGCATCTATAAAATGTGCAAGATATATAGCTAGCAAAATACACTGGTACAAAGTATTTCTCAATATAATAAATCCACATAATATTTTCATTTGTATAATCCTTTTCATGGTAAATTCCACAGCAGCAAAAATGAAAAAAAACAATTGCAATTCAAATTTATGAAAGGTTCACCATAAATGCGAATCAATTGTTCTTGTTTTACCAAGTAGTTCTTCAGGATTTTTTTTTCTTTTTAGCAAATTGGTAATCCAGTGGATCACTTTCCATCAGGTATGTTTGAAAGACAAAAACAATGAGGAGGAATAGTAAAAGGTGGTAAAATGATAATGAAAGAAAAAGATAACATACCGCAATGTCGAGTGAAGGCTTGTGGTTTGACGACATTGTGACATGTATCACATACTACGAGGTAAAGTTCATCCTTTGTTGGACATAATCCATATAAAGGCATATCTGAAAGAAAATAGAAAAACAAATGATTTAACAGAATACTTATGGATAAAGCAATCAGAAAAATAGAAAAATGCATTAAAATAACTTTTTGGAATAATGCTTAATGATAATGTTTTTCTACTTAAAATGCATGTCCAACATTCATTACTCATAATGACAACACCTTTTTTCTGGTTCCAGTGCCTGGTGATGTCAATAGCATTCGGGATAATCAAGGGATTATCTACAGCTGTTGAAATCGATCATGATTTTTGCTTTACAGACATTAGGTTGAGTCATAATAATTTTTTTTTTTTCAAAGAATAAAGTTAAGCAAAAACAAAAGAAAAAAAAATAGAATTACATTTTATTCAATTCTATATTCACCATTATTTGCAATGATTTATTGCCACGTGTCAGCTCTTTGATACCGTTTGAGTAAAATTCTGTAGGTTTTGATATGAAGTTTCCAATAAACTCTTGAATCTGAATCTGGTATTCATTCAAGAAATTTCTTTCCATCAAAGCATTTTGCAGCAAAAAAAAAAAAAAAAAAAAAATAAAATAATAATAATAATAATAATAATCAGTTGTTGCAAGATCAGGAGAATATGGTGGGTTGGGTAGGACAGACCAACTGAGTTCCAAAATTCTTTCCTTGCATTATTCTGGTATGTGGCCTTGTGTTGTCATTGAGAAAACATTTTTTCCTTTAATCCACTGTGCATGCTGTCACTGCCATGCAAAACCTAAGGTACGTTAGTGTTCTCCAAATTTATTCTTAACTGCTTTGTATGATTAGTAGTTAGGATGATAAATTTACAAATTTAATCACTAGAACAGAAATTACTTTTTACTCAACATAATAGTATCTGCCCTCCACCTACCATGTCTAATTATCTTTACATAGCTTCAGATGGCAGAGTTTTGAATTAAGAGTTGTCTTTCTCCTACACTGGTTGTCAACCATGGCTAGAGAGAAAAGGTATGAATCCAACTCTTCTTTGCCCATAACTGGGCAGAGAAGAGAGAGATTCATACCTTTCCCAAGTGTATTTGTGCGAAAGTAAATGCAATGCAAAAAAAAAAAAAAAAAAAAAAAGAAAGAAAGAAAAGAAAAAAGTCAACTGTAATTAAAAATAATTGATTTTGTAGGTAATATATAAAAAGTGCTCTTCAATGTTTCCATAAATGAACAACCTAACAATCACTGAAGATTAAATGAAATATGAAATTCACGGATTAACTTGATCAATTTGTTTTTTATGGCCCATCAACCTTTTGTGGGTTATTTAAAGCCAAAAAATATTTTTGGATTGTAAGATTTTTTTGGAGATAATGATTTATTGATACAAGTCCTACTGATTAACTCCTAACTGGGGAGAGAAAAAGTGAATTCATACTTTTCTCAAGGGTATTTGCACATAAGTGAATATATAATGAACATGACTGGAATTGGAACTCTCTGATTTCCAATTCTTAGCTGTTATCCACATTACAACCCCCTCCTCCAGCAAATCCAAGCTTACAGCACCTGGGATTCCCATCTAGATACTGACCAGGCTTGACACTGCTTAACTTTGGTGAGCAAATGAGAACTGGTGTTTCAACAAGATATGGTACTGAGCCTCTTATTCTAGAATTACCATAAACAAAAAATTCCTATTACTGATCCAGTCTGCAAGTTTTCTAACAAAGAGTGGGAAAAGTTAAGGAAATAAAATGGAAATCAGCAGCATTTTAAATATAAAATACATAGTCATCAAATGCATCACTTATAAATTAATTTGTTCAATAAAACTAAGTAAATCTCAATGTCAAGAAAGAAAAAAAAATAAAATCTCCCCTCAGTTGTATGTGTAAGTGCAGAAAATTTCCCAACTTGACCTACTCCTCCAAATCTGATTAAACAATTTTTTTTAGTTTTTTAAATATTTTAGTTAGGGGCAGAAAACTTTCCAGTATTCCTCCATACTTGATTACACATTTGTTAAAATAAAAACACACATATATATATATATATATATATATATATATATATATATATATATATATATATATATATATATATATCTCAAAAGGCTTCATTAATATTACAAAGTAATAAGCAATTATAAACTGCTGATTATCAGATATGTTAAACAAAAAAAAAATTTTGGTATGAGAGCAATAAAATATTTTTTTTAATTGAATGTTCTTTCAAACAGACTGAACCAGGAAGTATCAAACTTGCTCTAATAAATCCAGTTATAAGAAGGATTGTTATACAAACATTACTTAGTAGTGGATTATCTGGTGAGTTCAAGGGCAAACATTGATAATTTAATTAGTATTATTTTGTTAAAACAACTTACTGTATGTATTACAAGAAACCCAAATAAAAATCTACATTCCAAAGAAATACTTAAATTTGTTGTAACCTACGATTAAAGCAAAAAGATTAACAAAAGACATTGGAAACATTACTAATATAAAAAAAAAAAAAAAACTATTTCTGAACTACAATGTTTACACAAATATAGATGACAAAACAAGCAATATAATTCTGCCAAAAAGATCCTTCTTGTAATCATTTCAGGGTATTTGTAGGTGCTTCTATGTTAGAGAAGTTATGATCTTTTATCTTCATTGCTATTTGTTTCTATAGCTTTTATTTATTTTTAAGAGAATATAATTATTTTGTACTCATATAAAAAGACAAAGTGCAGAGTAATTACCAATGTTTTAGAAATATTTTACCATTTTTAACTTTTGTGTAAATTGAAGTAAATCATCTTATTTTTTTTTTCAAATCTTAAAGTAAAACATTAAAATAAAATGTGACAACCACAATTTCTATAGCTTTTATTTATTTTTATTTTTAAGTGAATCTAATTGTTTTGTACTCATGTAAGAGAAAGAAAATACTGAGTAATGACCAATGTTTTACCATTTTTAAATTAAAAAAAAAAAGAAAAGTTTATTAAATACAATCCTATATTTAAGTGCTGAATGACATAAATACAGGGTGCATCAGAAATATCTCTCACATAATGGCGAGACATTAGTGGCAATGGTGTCTTCATCTAGCTAACGTTATGTGGGAGCTATTTCTGCTGCATACTGTACAATAGCCAGGGTGCATAGTCTATAAAGAATGTGGTACATTATTTTCCTACTTTTATTTATGATATTTTAGTCATGTGAAAGATTAAATATTCAATTTTTTAAAAGATGACTTTTTTTTTTTTTTTTAGAAGGAGAACAGTTCATTAGTTGTAAAGAGATTAAAAGTGATATGCAGTGTTACTTTGCATCAAAATCTGAAGAAGTTTATGCCCGAGGGATTAACAGTTTGCAAAATAGATGCGATTATGTTATCAAGGGAAGATATTATCTTGATTAAATACAGGGTGCAGCAGAAATACCTCCTATATATTGGTAAGACATTAATGGCAATGGGGTCTCTCTCTAGCTAACATCTTACCATTATAGGAGAGGTATTTCTGTCACACACTGTATATTCCTAAAAGATGACAAACATTTTAAAGTTGTAAGTTTTGGGCAGAAATTGTGGTTGTCACATTTTATTTTAATGTTTTAATTTAAGATTTGAAAAAAAAAAAAAAAAAAATGATGATTTACTTCAATTTACACAAAAGTTAAAAATGGTAAAATATTTCTAAAACATTGGTAATTACTCTGCACTTTATATCTTTTATATGAGTACAAAACAATTATATTCTCTTAAAAATAAATAAAAGCTATAGAAACAAATAGCAATGAAGATAAAAGATCAACTTCTCTAACATAGAAACACCTACACATACCCTTCTGCATAAACAGAAAACAAAATGAGAAAGAGACCTGAAAATACAATACTTTGGCAAACAATAAAAATAACAACTCTGTTTTAGAGGTTATATATATATATATATATATATATAAATAAATAAAAGAAAGAAAAGTGATAACAATTCAATAAATATTCCAATTTTAATTGTATCTGTCTTATGTTTGTTTTATAAAAGAGGATGAAAAATGTTTAAGAATTAAGCAGAGAAGAATAAATGAAGAAATATACACTCTTACAAATAAACACATTTTCACCAAGTAGAGATATTTATACTATTTGTATGTGTGCTTGATACAGACTGAAAATCAATTGAGTAAATGCACAAAAATAGAAAGAGGCATAAGACAAAGACGTATCTTCTCACCAGACTTATTCAACCTATACAGTGAAGCAATCCTGAGAGAATTAGAAGTCCTACCAGGATTCATTATTGGCAGCTACAACATTAGATATGCAGATGACAGTATTGATAGCAAACACAGAAATGAAACTACATGAACTCCTACAGAAGATAGTAAAAGAAAGGGTTAAACATCAATTGTAAAAAGAGAGAATGTATGATTATTTTTTATGATTTATCAACCTTTTGCAGGTTATTTTAAAACCAGAAAATATTTTTAGATTGCAAGAATCTTTATGGAGATAGTGATTTTACCAATACTAGTCATACTAATTAATCGATAGTTGGGAGGAGAAAAGGTGGATTCATACGTTTCCTAAGGCTACTTGCAAGTAAGTGAATATAACAAACCTGACTAGAATTGAAACTTGGCTTTCTGATTTCCAATACATCACCTGCACATCTATGCTTACCCAAGTGGTCACCCATCTAGGTACTGATGTTGCTTAACTTCAGTGATTGTACAAGAACTGGTGTTTCAACGTGATTTTTTTTTTTTAATCAATTTACCCCAAGCAAGGTGATAGTCATTAAGATGTAAGGGGCTACTGGGAGTGAAACAGAATGAAAAAGACTTTAGAAGGAAGAGGAAACCTGATTCTAAATGAGGAACAAGGGATAAACCTCTACACCTGTTCAAAAGACCGGGGAGAAGTGTGAACCAGATGATAGAACCTAAAATATGACTGTAACCCAAGAAGAATGTATGAGGTATTGTCAGCAAAAGAAACAGACAGATGTGACCTATGAATTGGAGACACCAAAATTAAGCAAGTACAACAATTT